GATAGCAAGCCAGTCCTAAAGCCACCATAAAGAAAGCCATGTGGGGGTTGATGCAAAAGAGGCAAATCGCCAATGGAGGAGTCACATAGCTGGCCCAGATGCATCTAACAGTGTAGGGTACCTAAGGGGGTGACAGATACAGCACCTCATTCAGTTCTTGATTTCGGGGAGTCAGGACAGCTGGACAAGCTATTCAGAAAATATGCCAGTTTGGTGACCAGACATGTGAACATGCTTTACCTGGTATTCTGTCAGGTATGCCAGTGCCCTGTGTGTGCATGAGGTATCTGGGGAGGTGACAGAATCTCCAGAGCTCTATTTGGAAAGCCTCAATCAGTTGGCCCATGAGATGGATGGAGACAGATGTCAAGGAAGGCACTGGGAAGGAAATGTGGGCGACCTTCCTAACAGAGTGTATTTTAATATGCAAAAAGTTATTTAACTAAAGAAAAGGCCAGTGAGACTTCTCAGTAGGTAGAGGTGCCTGCATAAAGGCCTGACAACCTGTGTTCCATCCTCAGATGTTATGGGGTTTAAGGAGAAAACAAATTCCTGAGAGTTTCCTCTAACCTCCACACATGTGCCACGGTACACACACACACACACACACACACACACACACACACACACTAAACCATTTAAAATTTTTTGAAAGGTTGAGCATCTAAAATATCAGTGAAGAACAGGACAGTCACCAGCAAAGGTGCAAAGGGGTCCACAAAAGTCTCTGAAAAGAGCAAGGGAACTGGACAGACAGTGACTACCTGGAGTCACCTGGGAGAAAGACCCTTCTGTTCTGTAATGATATTGAGGTAAAGCAGCAGGAGATATTTTGTTGCAGGGAGGGTTTAAATATAAATCATGCCTAATTTTCTCATCTGCAGAATCAGTGGAGATAGTGGCAATATTCATGAGTCAACTGCCCTGTAGTAATTCCATTTTTAGGGCCCTTCCTGGGCCTGGAGACATGAGACCAGAGCATCTGCCCTTCGAGAATGAGGACTTCACCTTGGAAGAATAAGGACTTGAGTTTGAACCTGGCACCCATATAAAAAGCAGTGCATGGTCAGGCATGGCTGTCAACCCTATACTGGGGGACAGAGACAGGTAGTTCCTGAGAGTTTATTGGCCAACCGACCTCACCCAGACAGCAAACTTCCAGTTCAGTGAGAGCTGTCTCAAAGCAAGGTATCGAAGGCTACAGGGAACAGCCCTATGTACTAGGCTTAGCTACTTGAGTACACAGGGGTCACAAGCTCCTCTGCACACGCATGCATCACATCCATACACAATACACCATAGATACATGACACACAAAGTTAAAAGGAACCATCCTGCAGAAATACTTGCATGAGCCTATGACACTGCCATTACGAGGCTATCTGTGGCCCCATCACATGTGACAGCAGCTCACAGGAAACAGTAAGCATGCTGTGGATGTTGGCCGGCCAAGTGTCCCCTGACATGGATGCACAACTAAGGAAAAGTGGATCCACACACCTGTAGGTTCGGGTCAGACATAGCTGTTGAGTGATAAACGTGTGTGGTGAGACCACCACATAACCAGAGCTGTTCAACAAAACAAAGGTTTAATTACACTTTACACAAAAAACAAATGTAGAAGCATGGAAAAGAATTTATCAGTGTTTTTATGCAAAGATAGTTGGGAAAAGTTAAAGACAATTGCTTTGCATTGTAAGTGTGTATGTGTGTGTGTGCAGCATAATCATTTCCCAGTGTGTTTTGACTCATACCTGTGCTTATGAGAAAGAAAATAAGCTGGGGGGATGGCTCAGTGGATAAAGCACTTGCCATGCAGGCATGAGGATCTGAGTTCAAATCCCAGGACCCATGTGGAGTCTGATGGGGTAACTCCTGTCTGCAACCCCGGAGCTCCTGTGGTGAGATAGGCAACAGATAACCCCTTGAGAATCTCACAGGCCAACTAGCTTGTCATTCAAAGTGGCAAGCAACAACCCTGCCTCAAAGCAGAAGAAAAGTATTAACACATGTTCTCTGGGTTCCACATGTATTCCATAACCCTTGCATGCCTGTTCTTACACAAAAAGAAAGAAAATATGTATATTCATTTTGAAAATATAATCCATGATTATTTCAAAGATATATATAATATACTTTAAGGTGTATATTTTTACATATAAAGACACATATATAAATTGACCTAAATATATAGTTAAAGATAACGTATATATGTGTGTATGCATGTATCATGCAATTTCTTTTAAAATTTCTCTTTAAAAAGAGCCATCTATGAAGAACACTGCTATAAGGGTTATCTCGGAGTAAGGATATTGTGAACTTTATTTTCTTCATTCTGCTTAACTATATAAACTTAAGTTTCTGCAACGGGAATGTTTAGAATCATAAAATCCACAGCACTCTGACTGATGTGCCACAGGACCCCCGGTTGAGGATTGCAGCCCCTCACTTTGCCAGGCTTTCCCCTCTACGTTTTTGTCAGATGATAGGAACAACCCTGTGAGGACAAGGTCACAGTGAATAGAAGTCACAAATTCAGATGAGAAGCACACGCACACACCCCACCCAGTAGCAATAAAAATTAATTCAAGGTCATGAGTTTCCTGATAGGCACAATCCTGCCAGAGTGGGGTGGGAAGGTGAACTAGAAAATCGAGAGAGGCTTCCTGGAGGAGGTGGGACCTGAGCTGTGCCCGTGGGAACAGAGCAAGACAGTGTGGCAAGTGAAAGGAGCTGTGCCTCTAAGAGATCAGACGCTGGTGAGATAGCCAGAAGGTAAAGGTGTATGCCACGAAGCCTGGCAACCTGAGTTTGATTCCCCAGAACTCTGGGGAAATGAAAGAACTCACTCCCACTGCAGGTTGCTCTATTATCTCCTTTCTCACACCTGTACAGACACACACAGACACACAAAATAAATAAACAAACAAATAAATGTATGTTAGAGGGAGCCAAGGGGGGCAGAATTGGTGAAAGCCCTGCAAGAGGACACCAGGAAACCAGCAGAAAAAGGTGCAGCAGGAATAAGGCAGACCCTGGGCCATGAGTGTTGGACATGTGGAATCTTTTTTTTTTTTTTTTATCTCAGATGGTGGCCAATCAGAGGAGAGAAACACATGACTGTCTTCAGCTCTGCACCCCTAGGATAAAAGATATAGGACCAACCCACACCCACACCTTTGAGCCTGCACCACCCGTACCTCCCCCAGCTCACTGCTCCAGGGCTTGTTCTGTTTCTGGGCAGTTCTTTTATCCAGGTAATATTTGCCTCTCCCAACCCCTCTGCTTTGATGCTTACAGGGAGGATGAACTTGAGGAGGACCCTGAGGTGGGCACCCCTGTCCAGAGGTAGGCACATCACACCATCTGTCCCCATCACTGGGAAGCCAGGAGAACAGACGCCGGGTGGGGATAGCAGTGGGCAGTACAGGTCTGAGCCCTGCCCGAGGGAAGCCTGCCTTCTCTTCTTCCATCCCTGTGTTTTACATAATTAGGTAAGTCACTTAATGTCGTCTGTCTTGTTAGAGAGGCTACTAATCCTTAGAGCTAACAGCACTAATTAGTGTAGAACACTTTGAAAATAGAAGAAATTCAGACGTGGAATGTAATTGCTCGGTCCTCCTGGTACTGACACTTGCACAGAGTCACAGCAGAGCTGCGGGCCTGGCTGTATCTGTGGGTATGGGTGGGCTGAAGCACTTGGCTGGTGACACGAGACAGGAAGAAGTCCCCTCCTTGTGTCCCCAGAACCTGGAGGTTGGAGTGCCAAGGCTCCATGGCCTAGGGGACTGGACTTTGGGTTGGTGGAACTATGTGTGGCAGGAGTGGCAGGCCCTGGGCTGGGCTTTACACGGTGTATGATCGCTCTCCAAGTGTGTTCTAGCTTCAGTGCTCTGGTCTCTGAAATGGGCTGGTCTGAACTTGTTCCCTGGAGAATATAGGTCGTAAGATACATGGCACTGGTTCTGGCCACCTGGCACTGGTTCTGACTGGTGCTAATTTCTCCTTAAGGAAAGAGATCTTTACCTTGGGTGGTAAGTTCTTCAGGAAAAAGGCTGAGCCTCGAGCTTTGCTCACCCCTAGATCCAAGGGCACTTGAGCCACATGTGGGTATGGTGTTTGTCTGCTGCTCTGCAGGGTATCAACATCCTTGAAATGTACAGAGCCCATGGAAAGCCATTAATCTCTCTAAGCCATGATGTCAAAATGTACATTTTTAAATTTTAATTAAATTGTGTGTGTGTGTGTGTGTGTGTGTGTGTGTGTATCTCTTGTGTATGTGCACCATGTGTGTGAAGGTGCCTGTAAAGCCAGAAGAGGGCATCAAAACCCCAGGAACTGGAATGACTGGAAGCTGTGAGCTGCCTAATATGGGGGCTGGGAACTGAACCTGGGCTCTCTAGAAAAGCAAGACCCACTCTTAAATACGGAGCCATTTCTCCAGCCCCTGGTAAGATGTGCCTTTCAGAGCAGGATGATGGTTGGATAAGGGTCCTCCCGGTAGCTTGCTTCATCCCCATAAACTGCTGCAGCCAGTCAGCAGGGCTACCTCTAAGTCCAGGGAAAATGTCACAGGGATGCAGAAACCCCAAGTTCTGCAATGAGGCTGGCATGGAGCATCTGTAGTGCCACTATCCGCCACACCTTCCTCTTCCATAGATATGGCCAAGGGCTGCAGTGGCTGAGCCTTCAGACCCAGCCCTGTTGGAGCAAGGTTCACAGACACCAAATGAAAAGTATGTATCTAAAAAGGATTGGGCTTGCTACTGTTGTCTGCCTGCTTGCTTTTTCTTTTGAGACAGAGACTTACTACAGAGCTGGAGCTGGTCTGGAACTCTGCTGTGTAGCCAGGCTGGCCTCAAATTGTAACAATCTGACCTGAGCCTCCCAATTTATGGAATTACAATATGCATTACCACACCTTTGGTTTCGGTTTCTGTTTTTAAATTGTGGCCCTCCAAATCCAGGAAATTGCCAGATCCCCAGCCTCCTGGGTCCCACTGAGAATCCCTTGGGTTTCTGCAGCATCCCAGAGCCTCCTCTGGTGTTTTGCTTCAGGGCTATGTGACTCTCAGGCTGCTGCTGTCCCAGAACCAGATCTGCCCAAGACTCCTGCTTGACTCCCAAATGCCACACAAAGAACAAGGGTATGAATGTCACTTACCCACGGACCTGGAAGCCTACAGGCCAAGGCAGAATTATTCTGAAGAGTCAGTGGGTGGATGGGCTAAGTTGGGGGGCTGTTGCCTGGGGATGGTCTTGGCACCTTTCCATGTGACCAAGGTCTTCCACAGTCTCAATGTTAGACGAACAGCTGGCCATGGTTATTAAGATTCGTACTCAGTAGGAATTTGCCTAAATATGAAGGGAATTGGTCCCTTCAAGGAGTATTTGTTACCAGTGGTAAAAGTTTCCATTTTTGAACAGAAATGAGGATTTTTTGAAAATGTATATCTTTCTCTGTGAGCTTTATAGCTTCTTGATGGAGACATCTGTATGTACTAAGGTGTGTGTGTGTGTGTGTGTGTGTGTGTGTGTGTGTGTGTGTCTTTCTGTCTGTCTGTCTGTCTGTCTGTGTCTGTGTATGTTAAATGTCTGTCCTGTAGTGAAATGTGTCCACATTTGGAAGGCCTCTGAGCCAGCAATTCCTGTGAGCAGTGATGATATAGAAAAGCATATATAGGTAAAGACCTTTTGAATGCAGAATGGAGCCATGGAGCTTTGTTGTGCAGGGCACTTTCCTAGCAGGGCCAAGATCATACTGCAGCTGACCTGAAACAGAGCTCCAGTTGTCCAGTTTTGGTTTTCTGAAAAGCTGTCAGCATAGTCGTTGCTTTTCCGGATATGCATCTGTGGGGGCAGGGCTTCCTCAGCAGCACCCTCCAAGAGACAGATCACAGGGGCCTGGATGCAGAAGCAGTGCAGATCAGGCATCCCAGGTGAAGCCAAGCATCACAACTCACATGAATGGAAAACAGTGCTTCAATGTTTTCTCTTTAGGAAATAGCTATTTTTTTAGCATCAATATTTATGATGACTTTTGTTTTTTTCACATGAATTAAATAGTTTTGATTTCCCAGTTCCATTTGTTTGTTTTGTTTTAAATTTGTCATCATTATTATTGTAAGTATGGGTGAGTGCGTGTGTCTGTGTTTGGGCACACAGGTGCCGTGACATTTGTGTGAAGGTCAGAGGACAACTCTCTACAAGACTGTTCTTGTCTCCCACCTTGACAAGGCAGAGTCTCTCTTGTTTCTGCCCCACTATGTGCTTCAGACTAACTGACCTTTGAACTTCCAGGTGATTCTCCTGTCTGTTTCTCATCTTGCCATAGGAGTGCTGATTACAGATACCCACCACCATATATGACTTTGTTATGTAGATTCTGGGGGTTGAACTTGGGTCTTCAGACTTGTGTGGCAAATGCTTTTCCATGCTGAGCCTTCTCACCAGCCCCCAATTCCTTTTTTTTTTTTTTTTTTTTTTTTTTTTTTTTTTTTTTTTTTTTGTATGCCAGCATTAGATGTGAGTCAGGTGTCTTGTGACTAGGCACTTCAATAATGTTTGAGTGTAAATGTGAAGAGATGCTCAGCAGAATTTATTCTGAGTTATATCCAAAGAAATATATGGAAGTCTGCTTGCAGCAGAAGTGAAATAGCAGAAGCCTGGTCTCCTTGTCTGTGCTCCGTGCTCAGGCTACAACATCCCAGGATGGCAATAGTGTCCAAATTGTTATTAAACAGCATTATTTTGATATAGGAGAGACTGACAGTTCCAAAACAACATAGATAGGTAGGTAGGTAGGTAGGTAGATAGATAGATAGACAGACAGACAGACGGACAGACAGATGAAAACACTACCACAGAAAAGAAATAAAGCTTAGCTGCGAACTGATGGACTCTCCACATTCTCTCAGCCTAGTGATGACTAAGCCAGCAGGAAACCCTGGCAACTGTTCCCCAGCAATCCTGTTTTCTCCTTGTATGTTTCATAAGTGGTTTTTAACCAGAACCCCTTAAAATGTGTTATTGTCAGGAAATAAACCAAGAAACAAGGGATTGTAATTTAGTACCAGAAAGTTAATTCTGGAGCCCTCTGACCTTTGAGTGGTCACATGGCTATTGATTTTCAATACCATGAGGTGGTGTGCCACCCTAGGCGTGGGGTTCAGTGGATTCCAAGTAGTTTCTCCCTTATCAGTTGAGTCCCTTAGTACTTGAGCATTAAGGCGACAAATGTCCACAGTTAACGGCGTGTCACATGGCAGCCGGGTGGACGTGCCAATTTTCTAATGAAGTCAGGTTGTTGGCAAACACACCAGTCATCACATATCGAAGGAGGACTTCTTTTGTGTATTTCCAACACTCTCAAGTGCTTCTAAAGATATCCATTCCATCCTTATGCACGGGCCAGGCACCAAGGGAGGAGCATCCATCCACTGTCAAGACAAAAGCTATCAGGAGCAGAGTTTAAAGCAAAATGGGGCTGAGTTTCACAGATGTTAGAGATATTTTTTCCAGTTGCACTCTGCAGGAATTACTCCAAATAGATACAAGGGCTCCAAGGCCCTCGTGTCTCCATCAGAGAGAGGAGGTTGGGGTCATTCCTCGCTACCAGCTCTGCTCAATCCCATTTCTCTCTCTATTGAAGGAAGAGAATGAGCCAAAGCCTTTACATCGCAAACCAGTATGGAACTGGATTCACTCAGCTGTCATGAATGACCCGGCCAGTCAATGGAGAGGTGCCCCAGGCCCTCAGATAATCTGACCACCCTGCACCTCTTCCTCAACTCCCAATCGATAATAAACTACAGCTGCCATCTTGTATTGATTATTGAACATGTTGTGTCCATGGAAAGAAAAAAATTGCTTTTAAATATCAGCATTGTAAGTAATTTAAAATTTTGGTGGTTTTGTTTTAATGGAAATGTATGTGATCAAATTGTTAAGCAATGGGAAGGAGAATGGGTGCAGTGTACAGAATTATTAAATCACACACATACACACACAAAAATCAATAGTTGGTCTGGCCAGACGAGCATTTCTCAGGTAAGTCACGGAAAGTCGGACACACATCACTCGGGACTTTTTTACAGAAATGGCGAAATTTATAATGAAATTCAACAAGGAAACTGGAAAAACAGCCAAATTGGTGCAGCAAAGTGGTTAATAGGGTCATTAGCCTCCTCGCTGTATTTTTTTGGACACTGTGTGCCTGTACTGTGGTGCTCGACAGCAGATTGCGGGAACAGGCTGACAGTTAGGCGCTAGCTCAGCAGTGCCGGGTACAAACTGCCATCTTCCTGTGGATTTACAGCTGCCACTTCTGCTGCTTCAATTAGTTCTATAGCACACAGATGTTGCTTAAACGCTGCTGCTAATGATACTGCAATAAGCCTAAGATTCATGCCATATTTTGAGGCACGTAAATTTCTCAAGTGGCACAATTAAAGTGGAAATATTAGGTGGCGAGAACTTGGCAGTCTCTCCAACTTGGAAGGCGCACCCGCTATGCAATAATGGGTCAAAAATTCATTCAAGTTTTACTGCTGTTCCGAGTTTTAAAAGACTTTTCACAGTTGAATGCTAAGTAGTAAAAAGCAGGGCATTAGGAAATGAGAACGAGGTTCTGTTATTCAGAACTGACTTTTAATTTCAAATTGAAATCACATGCTCACTTTTCTGGATATGACAGAAGGGATAAAAGGCACATGCTGGAGAGATCTTTGTCTTTAAGAGCAGAATGTCCCCAGTGGAGATCATTTGTGGCTGGGCACCAGGTGAGGCTGAAGCCGAATGTAGGTGTAGGACTTGACATCCATTTTCAGGGTCCCAAACTGTAGACTGGGAAAATGTATAGGGATACTTGCACATGTGTGCATATATGCTCAGTTGACCCCTCCTACATCTGCACGCACACACATACACACACACATGCTGACACGCTGTATTTCCTCCTACATACATGTGCATGTGTACAAACATATATGTATACAAACATGTATGCCCTCCTACGGGCATACATGTATACAATCACACACATGTAGACATGCTGTCTGCCTCTTAGGCATACACACACATGCATGCCAGCACATTCAGACTGCCTCCTGCACAGGTAAAGAAGGAAACGGCCAGTGGGACTTCTGAGAACCTCCAATAGAATTTCTTGCCCTCATTTGTCATCCCAGACACAGTCCCTTGCCTGTCGCCAAATTTTCTTTTCCATGAAAAATCTCTCCTTCGGAGAAGAGCTTCCCCCTGACTGGTTGTCAAACACACTTTTGATTTTTCTCACAAACTGACTTAAAAGGCCAGCAGCCGGGCAACACCTCAGACGCCCACTGGTCTCTCTGCTCCGGGAATCTTTGTGCGGGGTGATGGCCCACCCCCCACCCCATTTTAACTTATTGATTGGAGCTGTCAAGTAAATAACTCCATTGCACCTAATCAGAATCATAGACTTCTGCCATCCCAATTAGAATGCCTGACCATGCTCCTGAATTCTGTGTGACTCTGCTGAAGGGGGGCATAGGAAGCGCCACCCGACTCCCTCTGGCCTGGCTCTTCTCACTCCTCTGCACCAGGGATGAAGGCCATGTGCACCACCAGGCATCGAGGCCACTGTAGTCTTGTGTGTATTTGAAAAATGTGTAGCGTCCCCTTAAACAGTGTTCTTCGCTCAGTGAAGTCTTCCCCAGGCAAACCCAGAACTAGGCAAGTGATGGAGAGTGGGCAAATCCCACCAGGTTTCTCCCCAGCTCCCTCCTCTGCTGTGCACCACCCTTCCTCCACCCTTCCTTCCCAGCCTGCTCTCCTCCCTCCCTTGCCCCTCATTCTGTACCTGAACCACTTGGATTATTTACAGCAAATCTAACAGATGTCAGTATTGTCTTGTTCTGCAGCAAAAGGACAATGAGTTCCCGCTGACCCTGGTACAATGGATCTCACCGGAGCACGATATGTATTTTATACGGGTGGTGAGGAGCCTACGAGTAATTGAGAGAGAGAAATGTCACTGTAGCATTTCTGTTGACACTGCACTCTGCAAGGAGAGGACCCCAGACTGGTGGCAGGCACACTATATTGCTGAGCTGGGGAGCAGGACCATCTTCTTTAGAAAGGAGGAGGCAGTTTAAATGGATCCACTCACATTTTTCCAACTAGCAGAATATTTCCAGGATCACAGGGCCACGCCAAAGTCTGCTGGCTGCTTCCCGTTTGCCGGGATGCTTGTGGACTCTGAGCCCAGCTGCTAAGTCAGATCTGCTTTTCCAGCTCTCTTTATTGTCTTCCATAATGCTTAATGTACTGTTTGTATATGTTGTCCTTGCAGTATATTTTGATGAACTCTCGTATATTTTATTCATCTCTGGCTTTCTAGGAAGGCGAGCTCACAGCAACACTGTGAATAATTATTTGCCACTATCAATCAAGTGTCTATGTGGTTGGCGCCTCATGGGACAGCCTGGATCCTTACTGGGACATGGAACACTTGCTCTTTGGGGCCATTTCGTTCTTTGTTCTGGGGTCTGGCGATGGGCTCTTCCAGCTGTACACTGGCTTTGGAGAGCAAAGCTCCCATAGGAGGCAGCAGGTATCACTGGAGCATGACAAGGAAGCTGCCTGGAGTCCAGAACACTTCTGAGCTTAAAAGTGAGGACACAGGGACTAGAGAAATGGCTCAGTTGATAAAACCCTTGCCACATAAGCATTGGGCCTGGAGTTTGAGATCCCACTATGCACATAAAATCCAAGTGGGTGTGGTAGCCTGTATGGGAGGTGCACACAGCAGAATCCCTATAGCAAGCTGCATCAGGAAGCACCAGAGAGACTCTGCCTCAGTGAATACAGTGGGAAACAATTGAGAAAAACACTCTGTATCAGCCTGAGCCTCCACACATAGGAGCACATATATTCTCTACACATGTGAACATCCTTTTACATGCATATGAACCACACATACACACTGAAGAACAAAGTGAGGACTCAGAAGCTCGTCACAGTAGGTGTGGTAACTACAAATGCCTTTCCCATGTGTTGCTCTATTTACACTCTAAATTTTAGAGGGAGAATCCACTGAGAGATTCATGCCCAGGGCCAGTACCAACCAACATGTTGCTTGCTATACCTTCCAGTTCCCACACGGTAGTGTGCATACCTAGTCCTAGGGGTGCCAGAAAAAGTGGCTTTAGAAATGTAATGGCCACCCAAGTCCAGTGCCTAAGAGTCTATCCCTGAGAAGGTGGGTGTTCAGCAGTTTGCAGGGACACCACTGTTTAAGTTGGGATCGGTCTTCTGGTAGCTTCTTTCCCTGCTGCTTTGCATGTCTCCCAACTGCACAGAAATCTGTGTGTTCCTAGGTCCTACAGTATCCTGGGCTAAGTTGTTTGCAAATGTTTGATAAACAGACAAACGATGCTGTTCTTTAGTGCTGCCCTTCAGCCGTGAGACAGATGCTGTGCCCAGCATTTCTATCATTGGAGATACAGAATACTGAGAATGGTTTTCAGGGAAAGGCAAGTCCAGGGGTTAATGAAGTTCTCAGCTTGTTGTGGTTGCCTGCGTGTCATCAGTAGGTCAGTCTGACTGTACCATGTGTGCCTGAGAACATAGTGATGTTGGATCCAGGTTCAGGTGGAGGGGATGTGGAGGTCAAGCAGGGTCTGAATGACAAAGGCATCCTCTTCCTCTGGTGGCAGGCATTTAGCAGATGGGAAAATATTAGCAGATGGGAAACCAGCAGATACATTTAGAGCAAGGTGCAAACCTCAAAGCTGCCAGCCTCCAGTGCTAAATATTTATGCTGTGCATCACACTGCGATGCTGCTGATCACCTGATGAGCCCAGGAAACTACCCTCGTGACAAAGTCAAGTGACAATTGAGGGGAGAAAACCCAACACTTGAAGATAAATTCACCAGGAACTATAGTTCAGGAGGAAAATAAAATCTGCAAACACTTGTACTTTCATTCTGAAGGAGTGAGCTGCCTCTTTCCATGGGTAAATGGTGACTATAAGGTAAAAGACACTCCGCATGGGGAAAAGGTTCCTTCCCTTTCCTAACCATCTGGTATTGAAACTGTTAGTTAACAGTGTTTTAAAAATGAAGTTCAAATTTGTTTTTTTTCTGGAAACTGGAAAAAATTCCCCAAATAACAAACATTGCCTCTGAGCCCCCAGCAAACCACTCCCTTAGTGGGCTGAGCTATTTCAGTCTTGTCGTACATCTCACTGAATCCCTACACTTTCTGGGGCCTCTGGTGGGGAACTGTGACTTCCAGCCTATAGCGGAAAGACTGTGGCTGGGTTTTCATGCTCACCAGGACCATAGATAGTACAAATGGGAGGCTTGAATCAGGCTTTTGGACTGCAGTCTAGTGGGCTGTCTGTCTCACCTTGGGGATTGAAGTGGATCTTTTCAAAGGGACCTTAAATCTATAAAACACAACATGGCTGTCTTGGATGCCAGTGTATTGCTGAAAGGCATCCAGGGTCCGGCTCTTGGCTATGCTCTCAAGATTTAGCCGTGAGCAGAGTCCCTACAAGTACAGAAAATAGATCAGGGAAGCAAAAAGGAATGAGGTAGGAGGCTGAGGGCTGGGTGTTGATCTGCTCTGGAAGTGTCCTACAGGCTGTGGCCTTGCAAGTCTAAAGATGGAATCCGGGTTCTGGAAACCGAACACTCAGCATAGTCAACACAAGAGCTGACCCTCACCCCTGAAGTCCTTCATCCTGTTTAGATAGTCCCTACCTCCCATCTTAACTTGACCTGCTCCTAAAGATTAAGCAACCTTAATCCAAACTGTAGACCCAGAGCCCTTAATA